GGCAGGGACAGGTCTGCCACGCTGGTTACATTCCTCCAGGGGGATGAAAAAATTATTTGTTTTTGATTGGGTCTATGCAGAACATTTGCATCTTGTTACTGCTGATATTTTAGCCTTAAAAGTTCTCAGACATTCCTCCAGGGCTTATCTTAAGCACATTTTTATTAAGTTCCCTTCTCTAAAAAAAACAAGCTCCAGTGAGTTTTGACGCGCGCTGCCTTTGACAATGATAATCTTTGTCCTTCCCAGCTGCAGCAAATTTAAGATAATCTCTTTTCCAAGTGGACTTTATTAATCTTGCCAGTGAAATACCATCCTGAGGTAAAACAATTATTTCCAGTTCAACTCTTAGTACCAGCTAAGCCCGTGCTGGAAAAGACAACCAACATCTGGCAGACTCAATATCTGCAGCAATTAAGAGTAATCGTGGAACCATAAATATACAAATCTGTCCGAGGGCTGGGACGGGGGACAGCCAGGGAGGGAGCGGCTGCAGCCAGCTGGGCTGGCCACACGCAGGGACACTGCCACTGTCACTGGGGCACTGCCACACCCGCACTGCCACTGGCACTGTCACAGGGACACTGTCACAGCAGTACTGTCACTGTCACAGGGGCACTGTCACTGGGGCATTGCCACACCCGCACTGCCACTGGCACTGTCACTGGGACACTGTCACAGCAGTACTGTCACAGGGGCACTGCCACTGTCACTGGGGCACTGCCACTGCCACACCTGCACTGCCACTTGTCACTGTCACAGCAGCACTGCTGCTGTCACAACTGCACCGCCGCTGTCACCATCACAGCAGTACTGTCACTGTCACACCTGCACTGTCACTGGGACACTGTCACAGCAGTACTGTCACAGGGGCACTGCCACTGTCACTGGGGCACTGCCACTGTCACAGCAGCGCTGTCACTGGGGCACTGCCACTGTCACACCTGCACTGCCACACCTGCACTGCCACTTGTCACTGTCACAGCAGCACTGCTGCTGTCACAACTGCACCGCTGCTGTCACCATCACAGCAGTACTGTCACTGTCACACCTGCAGTGTCCCCGTCACAGCAGCACCACCATTGTCACTGCTGCACCACCACTGTCACAGCACACCGCCACTGCCACACCTGCACTGTCACAGCACACCTGCACTGTCACAGTCACAGCTGCACTGTCACAGTCACACCTGCACTGTCACAGTCACACCTGCACCACCGCTGTCCCAGCGCTCGCTCGGGGATGTGCCGGCTCCCCCGGGGATCTCCGGGACGGTGTCCCCTCAGCCCAGGGAGCCAGGGCGGGGACACGTCCCGGCCATCACCGCCACACCTGGCACGTGTCACGGCATGCCCCCCTCGCTCAGTGATTAACAGGATTGAACTAATTGGAGGGAGAAGCCCCCTGGTTCTCCCCACGTTCCTCCCTGTGGTGCCACCGGAGCCGTTGAGGCTCCCGAGTGTCCCAAAATCGGGACAAAGATCCCCGAACGAGCCGGGCCGGGGCTGGGCTCGCCCCCAGCTGCTCCCCCAAAAGCAGATTTTTCTCCTGAATAACCGGAGGGGACCAAGCCCAAACCCAGCCAGGGAGGGCCAAACGCAGGGAGACAGAACCTGGATCCCAGCCCTGCTCCTGGAGGAACCGCTCTGCTCGGTCTCACCTCAGAGCAGCTGAAGCACCACGGCTGAGTATGATTTATTATTACTATTGTTATTATTGGGGGTTTTTTTTGTTGTTGTTTTTTTTCCCAGAAAAAAAAAAAATCGCTTCACCTTAGTGTTTTAAATTTAAAAAATGTGACCCTGCTCCATTTTCAATTAACTCTCCCTGGAAGTATTTTTTACTGAGCTGCTTTGACTGCAGAAGTGCAATTTTGCAGAAATACAATTTTGCTTTTTCCTGCTAAAAGGGTAACAATAGGTAAAAATCAAAAAAGATCTCATAGATAATAAATGATCCAATTTGGAGTCAGATCTATGTCCAAAAGCTTTTCTAAATGCAAGCACAGATGGAAAAAAATAAAGAAAATTAATTTAACTTCATTTTCCCTCAAAAACTCCTCCAGCTGTTGACTCCCTCACTGAAATCATTATGTTGTGTAAAATCATGATCATTACTAAAAAATATGAGGTTAAGGCAGCACAATAAGTAGAAAAGATGCAAATTTATATATAATTTGAGTAAAATATCATCACCTGGAGGAAAAAGCAAAAGCAGTTTTGGACTGAAGTATCTGCTGGGCTCCTCACAGGAAGCGTTTTGCTTCAGACACAAACAAAAGCCAGGGTAAAATACGATCAGCGTACTAAATTGACAATGCCCTCTCAGAGCTCCAGTTTGTTGTGTTACCACATCCAAGGAAAATTATTTGAGGGAATGGAACAAAGAAATTAACCATATTTCCCCCAAATGAAGCCATTGCTGATCCCAGAAACTGCACAGGAAGAATTCCATTGGCAAGAACATCCTGGATGATCTTCCACCGTAGTTTTACAGCAGCAAGGCTGCTTTTCCTTTAGAAGAAAGGAAACAAAATGGATTATTTCCCCTCTGGACTGCACCCCTGCCCTTCCCAGTTCCCAGGGGGGACATCAGTGAGTTTGCCAACATCCGAGGTGAGCCTGCACACCCAGCACTGCCCTGGTGTCCCACCCATCCCCTGACTCTCCTCACAGCCAAATACTTCAAACCACAAACATTTGGTGGCCACAACCTCCTGGACCAAGTGGCCACCCTGGAAAGGGGCAAAAGCCTCCCTTGCCCCAGGAGATAAATGGAATTATCACTATCTGCTTAAAGGTTTTTGGCTATGGACTGGTGGCTCCTGGGTGAGGTTACAAGGCCTGGCTGCTCCACAAAGGCTGTGGGCTCTGCTGGCTCTCAGATTGAGCAATAAGAAGTTATTTCCATTTTCTCTCCATTTCTTTTCCTTTTCCTTCCTTCCTTCTTTTCCTGGTCACACTTCTGGGCTGGGAGCTGAGCTCGTGCCCAGCTCTCCACAAGCCCCAAGAGCCCCACCAGGAGACAGGCACAAGGCTCCTCCTGTGCCACCTGGAGCTTGGCTCCCCAAATAAACCCAGAGCATCAAAGGGATCACAGCAGGATGGGGAACCCCAAAGAGTGCATTTAGTGCAGGCACACACAGAGAGGTGCCAGGCCAGGGCAGCCCAGCCCTGCACAAACAGACTCCATCCGAGCCCTGCAGGGTGGCTGAAAGCCCTGCACACCCAGAGCTCAGGGCACTGATCCCAGCCCAGTGCCAGGAGGAGCTCACCCAGCACAGTCCTGCTCCCTCAGCTTGCCCCAGGCAGCTCAAGGCCCAGAGGAAAAAGCCAATCCCCCAAAAACAAGGGTGTGCTGTCCATGTGGGACTGAAGGTCACAGAACAGTGACCAACTCCAGTTCCAGATAAATGAGCATCCATAAAACCCACACTGCAGACACAACATCACCAGTGTGGAACGGGACATGTTCATACCTGTTAATTACTTTTTTTTTCCCCACAAGTAAAACATCTTTCAAGGGCAAGAATAAGATCTGAGGTTCCCCTTTGCTCTGCTGAATTTATCTGGTTTATGCAACCCCTGAGCGAGCAAGAACACAGAGTAAGGGGAAAATGTGCTTTACACAAGTGAGTAAAAGCAGAAAAATCAACTTTGTATCAGCAGAAAGGCTGAACCTGAAGGCCCACAAGTCTCTTCCCCCAGAAGCTGGAATAAACCAAGCATCCATGGAAAAAGGAGAAGCAGCCCCAAGTTTTGGTGACACAACTCACACCCCACACGCTGTGGGATCCCCTTTTCCCATCCAGCACCATTTTTGTGCTCCCTGCTCCTCCCATTCCTCGGGACAGGCCACAGAAACCAAACCCAACCCGTGCCACCACGGCAGCCACGACTCCGGGCTGGAAAACAGAGACCGGCTCCTTTTTTCCAGCCACGAGGGACAGAGCAGCCGAGGCACCGAGCCCAGGGAGAGGCACCGGCCGAGGAGCAGGCCACAGGGCCCGCCGAGGACATGTCTGCGAGCCGGCGGATTTCAGATGTTACAAAAGCTGCCGCCGACCTGAGGTGAGCGGGGAGCTCACTGCGGTCTGCAAAGCCGGGCAGAAGGGACCCGGCCCCGCTCCACAGGCCACGGAGCCGGGAAATGCGGGAAATGAGGACGAATTCGGGGGATTCTGCAGGAAAAAACCCCGGCCTCACGAGCAGGAAAGGCATTCACAGGCTGAAACCGCCCGAACTGCAGCCCCGAAGGACAGCAGCTCCTCAGACAATGCAGGAATCTCCCTGCAAAGCCCAAGTACATTTTTTTCCCCTCTGGCCTCCATCTCTGCCACAGCCAAAGAGCAATGCAAGGGAACGCCATCCATCACCATCCCAGCCCCAGGGCTTGCCACAGGCCAGGGGACACCTCCAGAGCAGCGGGCCTTACTTACAAAGGCTTTTGTTTTGGCCAATTCCGAGCAACATCTCGGAGTGCAAACCCTGCCCTGCAGTATTTGCAACCCAAATATTGCAGCACTGAGCTAATTTCGGGGAGCTGGCACACACAAGCGACTACTGGAGTAATCAGACCAAAAAAATGAAGGCGAGCTAAATTTAGGAGTAACTATGCGATACAATATTAATAACGGATTATTTTCCTTCTAAACAAAAAAATATATACACATATATATAAGAACATGTGTGTGTGTATATATGTATATATATAATTTTTTTTTTAATTAATGCTGACAATGCTCCTTGCAAGATCCAGGTTCTCCATCCCCCCAAGGATTGATCCCACAGTTTTCTGGGTACCAAATGAGGTTCAACCCCCACTCCCCCCACGAAGAAAAGCCCCCAGGACCCCCGGGGCGCACCCCCCGCCCGCAGCGGCCCCCGGGCAGGGGGAGCCCGGTGCCCGCGTCCGCCGCGCTGTCCCCGAGCGCTCCCGGGGAGGGCTGGCCGCGTTTCCCCGCAGTGCAGCGCGGACCGCCCGCATCCCCCATCACTCACTTCCTCTTGTACTCGTCGCGCTCCCGCTTGACTTTGGCCAGCACGTTGTAGAGGGCGCGGATCTCGGGGGTGATGGTGTCGATCTGCACCCCGACGCCGTCCGGGTGCACCCAGGACACGCCGGGGCCCTGCACGGTCTCCAGGCCGCCGCCGCCGGTGCGCCGCACCTGGGTGTAGCTCCAGATGGTGCCGGGCAGGCGCCCGTAGTGCGGCGGCGACGGCAGCGCCCCGTGCCCGGGGCCCGGCGGCGGCACCAGCGGCGGGGTCCCGCCGTCCGTCTGCACCGCCTGGTCCCGGGAGAAGGTCTTGTAGCGCAGCCGGCGGTCGCGCTCGCTCTGCTGGGCCGCCAGCTGCTTCTCCAGCAGCCGGTTCCGCCGCTCCAGCTCGTGCACCTTGGCCAGGAAGCAGCGGAACCGCACGTTCAGCCCCTTGAGCAGGTGGATGTTGGAGCCCAGGTCGTTCCGCAGCGCCGCCGTCACCGGCGGGCCCCCCCCGGCCGCCGCGGGGCCGCCGCCGCCGGGGCCCAGCGGGCAGGAGGAGGCGGCGGCGGCGGCGGCGGGGGAGAAGGCGCGGGCCATCTCCCCGAAGAGCAGCGAGTTCATGGCGGAGGGGCTGGCGGTGGTGGGGAAGCCGGCGGCGGTGGACGGGCCGGCGGTCCCGGCGGTGCGGAGCGGCCGCGCCGGTGCCGCTGCTGTCTCTGCGGCCGCCGCCGCGCTCGCAGGGCTCTGAGGGCTCTGGGCGGGAGCGCGGGGCGGGACCGGCCCCGCCCCAACCCCGCGCGCCGGGGCCGAGGCACCGCCCACAGACAGAACCACGCCCCCTATTTCCATATAGACATCCTCATTTCCATAACCACGCCCTATATTCCCATAACAAACATCTTATTTACATAAACACGCCCCATTACAGTACCATTAGCGTTCCCATAGCCGCGCCCCTCATTTCCATAATAATCTCTCATTTGCATGGCCCCGCCCCGCGGTGCCGCAGCCGCTCCCTCCACGTGTCCGCCGCGCGGGGTTCGGTGATTTTTGGGGAGCCCCGCGGTCCGAGGGCGCTCCCGAGCTCCGGGGACGCCGCGCTGATGGGAAAACGTGCGGGGAAGGGGCCACGGCCCCGGCCCTGCCTCCCCCCGGTGATCCCGGGACACCGCGGGGTGGCGGATCCCGGCGATCCCCGGGACACGGCAGGGTGGCGGATCCTGGTGATCCCCATGGAGCCAGGCGGGAGGGCGGGCAGTGCTCCCCGAGAGGAGAAGGGTGCGGGGACATCGCAGCTCCTCCGGGGATGCGGGGGAGCCGGAGCTGCACCGGGAGCGGGGGTGACGGGACAAGGGGAACGGAACAAATGGAGGCAGGGGGAATTTTGGATGCTGGGCAGGAATTGTTCCCTGTGAGGGTGGGAGAGCCTGGCACAGGGTGCCCAGAGAAGCTGTGGCTGCCCCAAACCTGGCAGCGCTCAAAGCCGGGCTGGATGGGGCCTCGAGCACCGGGATGGAGGGAATTGTCCCGTCCGTGGCAGGGCTGGGAACAGGAGATCTTTAAGGCCCATTCCAATCCCTCAGCACTCTGTGATCCCACGATTAGGCCAGATCAGACTAAATTATAAACCTTGGATTTTGTTATCCCACAGCAGAGCCCTGCCTAAGTGCTAAATAATGCTGATATTATAATAATTAAGTTATTAAATGAACATTTCCCAACCGCTGCTCCCGGACCTCTGGGCAATCAAAGGATATTGTTTAATTGAATGATGTGATCGCTGCATTGCTCTGCTGGCAATGATGCAAGGGAAGCACGGGGACACCTCTGCCAGGATGGGGTAAAGCTGCAGGAACACTGCTCACACAAATGCCATTTCTGAAATAAAACCATGGGGCTTGCTGGTTGTATTTGTATTATTTTTATTTATTTATTTAATATTTATATATTTTATATATGTTTATATTTTTATTTTTGCAGTTAGATTTACATTTATATAATTTGATATATCTTATATATATTTAGATTTATATTCTATATTTTATAGATCTTTATATGTTTATATTTTTATTTTCTATTTATTTGTCTGTATTTTGATATATCTTATCTTTTTAGATTTATATTGCAATATTTAAATATGTTTCTATTTTTGAATTTATATTTATATTTTATTTATACTTATATTTATATTTATACTTATATTTATTTAACCCCACTTGCTGAAACTCCAGCAGCACTTCCAGCCATGCTCAGCACCGAAACCAGAGCTCTTCAAAGGGCTCTGTTAATGTGTCACTAACCTGTGTTCTGTCAGCACCTGCTGGAAAAAACAATAAAATAAAAATGCTGGGTGGAGGTGCTTCATTAGCAGGGTGACTCAAAGCAACACCTGAAGGATTTGTCTCTGCCAGCACAAACCCTGGGCCGGGTTTGGGGGTTCCAGGAGCCCGGGGTGCCCCAGGCAGGGCCAGGGCTCCATCAAAACCCAGGAAATGCTCTGCTGCTCTGGCCGCCTGCAGAGCCACAAAAACACCCGGAAAAGGCAAAAAATTGGCTCAAACTGCGGGATGGGATGGGGATGGGCTTCAAGGTCCCCTCCAACCCAAACCCTGCAGGACTTTATGGATTTCCCTGGGTTTGGGCAGCTCGCTGGTGGTGCTGGAAGGAGCTGGGGGATGGCAGAGCCCCGTGGTCAGCAGCTGGGAAAATCCAGCCGAGTTTTGGGTTAATTTTTTGTCATTTTTTCCCCTTTGGGAAGCAGGAAAGCACCCGAGGGGGTGATAAACCAGGCAATGAAGGGTTTGGTTCCTGCCCCGAGATCTTGCAGCTCCCTGGATCCACCAGCACCCCATCCCGAGCTCATTAAGTGTAATTAGTCCTTTTGCTGATGAGCTCCAGCCCCTCCCTGGGACAGCCACGCCCAGGCTGCGGCCTCACTGAATCCCCCTGAATTAATGGCAGCAATTAATTAACCCTGGCGGGGGGCGATGGGAATGCCCACCCTGGGGTTCTATGGCACAGCCCCGTGCCAGGCTGGGAATTCCTGCAGGGAATTCCTGCCAGGAGAGGGTAGAAACCAGGGAGCCTTGGTGAGCCTCTCCTCTGGGGACGGGCAGGAGAAGGGCTCTGGGAAGGGAAAGGGGCTGGTTCTGAGAGCAGGGACTCTCCGTGGCCACCCCGACCATGCCAGCCACAGTGACAACACACATTTGTTTGTTTGATTGGGGTTTTTTTGTTTGATTGTTTGATGGGTTTGCTCCCAGCTGGAGCAGGGACTGGGGTATCCAGGCCCTTGCATTTGGTTTTGCACTCTTTTTCTTTTTGGTTTTGCACTCTTTTTTTTTTTTTTTTTTGGTTTTGCTCTCATTTTCTTCTCCCTTTGGCAGCACCCTGCACTCCCCAACCTCAGTGACCGTTTTCAGGGTTGCTCTCTAAAAATGGGCTCCGATTTTTAATGTTAATTTTCCCGGGGCTGGTTGCATCCTTTGAGGCTCTGTTAGACTGGCACTCATGGAAAGTTATTTTTTCCTAGGTAAAGTCACCATTTTCCAGTCAAACCGACTGTCCTGGAATGACTTTATGATTTTTGTATCCCCAGAAATAAGTTTTACGCCTTTAAGACTGGTTCTGGGAGCTTTTCAGAAACTGCATTTTCTCCCGTGTCCTTCTCCTGGACTGTGTTTTCTGAGAGCCCTCCTTTGCTTTTAGTTAGTTTCCACCTCACTGAGGCAGAGAAGTTCCCTGGACTGTGGTTTTTCTTTTCCTTTGGAGCTGTTTAAACCTGCTCTGAACACCCAGAAGACCACCAGGAGCTCATGCTGATAAGAGACTGATAAGAGACAGAGTGAGCCGAGCCACAGCCCACCGAGGGCAATTTCTGAGTTTGTGATCTCTTCAGAACAGTGAGAGGTTCCATTGTTTAATATTGCCCCTTTTTTTGTGCTGGCGAATGCTTTGCCTGTTAAATAAACAGGTTTTTTCCACTCTTCTCCAAGGAAACATTTTCCCAAACCAGTCGGGGGTGGGGCTGCTTGAATCTGCTTTTCTAGAGGAACCCCTTCGGAGGTTTTCCCCCCGATTTGCTCTGAACCAGGACAGCAACCCAAACCCACCCCAGGGCTCCTGTTCCGTGCCACAGCTGCTGCTCCCGGGGCTGCTGGCATCACCGGGGGTTGGTTTGTGAGTTGGCACAAACCTCCCTCTAAAACAAGAAAAACGCCTCTGCTTCAACCCCCACAAAACTCCCCAGTCCCCAAAATGCCCCTCAGTGACTGCAGGGGTCCTGCTGGGCCGGGATTTTCTCCCATCAGCTGAGGCTGCAGCCCCTCACCCCTCCCTCAGCCCTTCCCATCCTCGGGCTGCCGCCCTGAGGGACTGCCTGAAAACAGAGCCTGACAAAATTAAAGGAATAAAAAGCATAACTGCTTTTCATTTATTTATTGAAGGGCTTTCAGGTACATCTCAGGCAGCCGAAGCCCCCCAGAGGCTGCACCCAAAAATGGTCCGCAGCTCACAGGTTTTCACACTTTTATAACTTTGGTCCTTTTGCATACTGGGGGTTAATCCTCCAATTCCAGCTTCAGCTAATGAAGTCATGTACCCCAAGTTTGCCCCCCCAGCTCCCTTTTGTTTAATCTCTCAGGCCTGAGGCAGTGAGTGTCTTTGATTGCCAGGCCTGGAGAGGAATTGCTGTGTCTGCCCAAAACGGGAGAACAGCAGCTGCCACTGCGTGTGGAGTTCGGAGTTCTACACTAAAGAACTGCAGGGTTACAAATTTATATTAAAAATACAAAAGCTGAAATCCTGAGGCATCAGCTCCAGCTCGGCTCTGCTGTCTGGCACCCAGCGGGGCCGGGGGTGCACCCGGGGCTGGGAGGGCTCCCCTGGGGCTCTCACCTCGCACCTTTCCTGGCTGAGGGATGTGTTTATCCGAAAGCAGCCGAACCTTTAACAGCCCCCCCAAAATGGTTGTTTTTTACCACAGACCCCACGATGGGGCACGAGCAGGGGGTGGATCTGTCTCGTCCCGCTGCGGTTCTGGGCAGCAGAGCCGCTCCCCCAGCAGCGCCTTCCCCGCGGCAGCCGGGCTTTGGGGGAATGGGCAGGAGCTGCCCTGCCCTGCCCTGCCCCGTCCCGGGAGGATGGCAGCACCTGGGGACAGCCCCGGCGCCTCCTGGGGTGACTCAGCGCCACCGAAACAGCCGGGGTGCCACCAGGGCCGTGCCCACCGCGGTGTCACCGGCCGGGAAAGGGCCGGCTCAGCCCCGGGGCGGTTCCCGTTCAGGGGAAGCCTTTGGGTGGTGCCGGGGATCTCCGCCCGGGCACGCTGCGGGGACACAAGGCGTTTGTGGGGCTGCTGCTGGCAGTGCGTGCGTGGGAGGGATGAGTTCCACAGAGCAGCAGCTTCTCCTCCCCGCACCTTTCCTGCCTTTAAAGGAGGTTTCTCCTCCCCAAGCCGTGTTCGCTCCCCCGCTTTGTCCCTCCCTGTCCCGGCAGCTCACGGGACAGAGGAGCTGCTGCCGAAACCCAGCACCTCCTCCCAATGCGGGTTCATTCCTGCACCCACAAAATCCTCATTTACCCACATTCGGGGGTTTGTGGGCGTCAGCAGCACAAACCAGATCC